TTCCTGGCCTCATCCCCAATCTACCTTTAGGAAAGTATATTGAAAATGGGAAACTTTTACCGATCCATTTTATGTCCAAAACTTTAAAACCGATCCATTTTATGTCCAAAACTTTAAACAAACATCAAAGAAATTACAGCACAATAGAAAAAGAATGCTTAGCCATCGTTTACAGTGTGCAATATTTCTCAAGTTATTTAACTTATTCAAAATTTATGCTGTATACAGACAATGAAAGCCTCAAATGGTTGTTCAATAGGCCAGGTGAATTAAAAGGGAAATTTTCCAGATGGGTAGCCTTCTTGAAAACATTTCAATTTGAAATATTTCATATTCCCGGAACAAAAAATATTTGGGCGGATTTATTGTCAAGAGCGGATTTAGTACGTGAAGAAGTACCGGAACAATTTGAAAGTAATCTGGAAGATCAGACGGTTTGACTAATATTTTAGAGTTTCCTGAATTGTTTCAATGTCTTAAAGAGTGGCAACATAAAGACGAATTTTGCAATAAAATGATCACAGACATACAAAAAGGGATTAAAATAAAAAATAAAAAAATTTCTATTAACGCGGATGATAAATTGTTACATTTCCAAACAGGATCCATGCCCCGTTCGAAAAATTTTTTACCACAAGCACTACGCGATGTAGTATTTAACTTAAGGCACGCTAGTATATTAGGAACGCACTCAGGTATTTCAAAGACAATCAGTAAAATTAGTAAACATTTCACATACCCACATTTCCGTAAAGATATAATTGAACGGTGTAAAAATTGCAAACAGTGTTCCGAATATAAAAGTGCAAATTTCACCAGATATGGGTTTTTACAGTCCAAACTTGATACAGCTCCCTTAGAAAAATTGTATATTGACTTTACGAAAATGAATAGAACAAATAATGGTAATCTATATTTATTCATCGCCGTCGACAGTTTTTCTAAATTCCTATTTGCTATCCCGACACCCGATCAGAAAATAGAGACCGTAATAAAATGTATTAAACATTATATTATTAGTCAACATGGAATCCCAAGGGTAATATTTTCCGACAATGCAGCAATTTTTA